CTGGGACGAAGCCTGTCTCCCTCTGCCCTGCCACGGAGGAGTGTTGGCTCCAGGGCTGGGGCTGCCACGTGGTGTCTCCAGTGACGAGGCCTCGCCACCAGGCCTGTGGCCGCTCCCAGGGCCGAGCCCCACCGCAGCAGAGAGATTCTCTAGCCAAGGCCTGCGCCAGGCAGAACTACGGCACTAGAGAGACCGGGCCCAGCCCAGCCCACCCCCCATGTGCATGTCCCACCGGGGGCCGCTCCCAGGGCCGAGCCCCACCGCAGCAGAGAGATTCTCTAGCCAAGGCCTGCGCCAGGCAGAACTACGGCACTAGAGAGACCGGGCCTGTCCCATGTGGGGGGGCTGTCCATCTCCAGCACGGGCGCGGGGCAGAGCTAAGCCTCCCAGAGCCACCCAAGGCTGTCCAGTGTGCGTGGCAGACTCCTCCTGCAGGTCACAAGCTAGCCCTCCCCCAACCGACGTTCCCGCCATTGTTTCCATCCATGTGCAGAATACATTTTGTTATAATGCACGTGCATTTTGTTATAAGCCACGTGCGGAGGTGCACCACCAAGAGAAACGCAGGCTGCCGGCTGTGGGCGCTCTGCCAAGCTCCCGGCGTCCAGCGAACACTGCCCAGCCCCTCCCCTTAGACAGTTCCCTTTAATGCCTCTTCGCTGGTTGTGCTCACCCTGCTTCCAAAGCCCCAGCGACTGCGGCTTTAGCTGTGTCTGGCCCTGCGCCAGCCGAGCAAACCTTGCACCTGCTGCCGGCAGGATGGAAACTCCCCAAACTGTCCGGCCCCCGTGTCTTGGAAGTGCCCTGGGCTCCCTCCTGGCTCCATTGCGTGGCTCCCCCAGCCTGAAGCCAGCCCGAGCGTTCGGAGAGGCGTCTCCTCGCCGGGGGGCCCAAGCCCCCCCGAGCTGGCCTCTCGCACTGCGGACCGCGGGTCGCAGCTCCACGTTCCAGTGCCTGCCCGTGGCAGCCCCACTCGCCTCCAGCGTGGGCCCAGGTCCAATGGCAGGCGGCTGGTAGCCCAACGGCCCTAGCACCTGGGGCTGGGCTGAAAACAGGCTCCCAAGGCTGGGGCTTTCTTCCCGCCGGGGCCGGTTCGCCAGCCACGCGAACAGACGCCAGCTCTGCTGGGCGTGGCCGAGCCCCCGGCAGGAGGCGGGGGGAGTTCTGCAGCCCCCCCATCTGCTCACCCCGGGACTAGCCTTCCCCCTGTCCCAGCAGACGCTGGCCACGGCCCTGGGGGCGCCCGGGCAGGGCGTGAGGCCAGAGGGGCACTTACGCAGTCCCGTTGAGGAGCCCAAAGGGGACCCGCTCCTCCTTGTCCTGGGCGTAGGCGTCGTAGCAGCCGGCAATGTCCGCCTTGAAGGTGTCGTGCACCACGCAGGAGTTGTTCTGCACCTTCAGCTGGCGCAGGCGCGGCACGCCCAGCAGCAGGTTCTCGTAGTAGATGTAGGACTGGGCGCTGTGCGCCAGCGACTCGTTGTTGTACCACTTGGTCCAGTAGAGGCTGTCCAGCAGCGGGCCTTGGGTGTACTGCGGAGCAAGAGGCGGCAGGCCCTTGGCTGAGGGGATGCCCCGGGCGGGGGTCTTCCCTGGAGGCTGCAGCCAGGCTCAGCCGGCCTTGCCCCATTGCTAAGGAGGGGCGGGGGGGTCCTTTGGGCGCGGGGAGGGTGGCAGGGGAAGGGGAACCATGCAGGGGCAGGACGCGAAAGG